GCTGAGCTGGTTGATGCGGGTAAATAGTGGTATGCGGGGCAGATCAGCTTGCCTGTCGAACTTGCTACGTGACATTTAGCATGCGGCTCCGTGAAACTCACCACATATTCCTCTTACACGCTGTGGTATATCTTGGTCGCTCAAGTCTATGAGACGTCGCACACACATACACAATACATCTGGTCAGAAGGACTTGATCATTCTGCCAATCAGCCTTCGGTTGGTTAATTACGCTGAAAAGGTGCCCAAAAGTGGGGTTATCGGGTATTACTAATGCAAAATTCTACGATTATCTCATCTCCCATTCGGGAGTTTGCGGGGACTGAAGTGCTGGTGGTCACTCTGGCATCACAGCTGATGGGTTGATCATAAAAAACTCGAAAACTTAGAATAAAAAGGAAATGCACTTGAGACCTTTATACTATAGTTTGGTTCTTACCGTTAATCAGCTCTGTGCAGTGAAGCGTCGAGGCCAACCAGTTCCGCCCGGTCCCATTTTCTCTGCAATACAACATTATCTCGCATCTCTACCACCAGTCGATGGTCGAATAATGATGGTCACTGATGGGGGCAAATCAATGATGCCGATTCACAAAACCAGTTCCGTCATCAGTCACTGGATAACTGGGTTGTAATCAAAGCGCCCAGCTTGTGAGCAAATCAATGCCAAAACGACTAGTCCTATTTATCAGTAGCTCAAGATGCTGCAGTTCTGAACAAGATCAGGTAGGTTAGACGCTCGTAGCCGCTACCGGAAGCTGGTGATGATCTTATCGCTTTCATGTGCACTGCCCCTGTGATCCATAGTGGACGAACCAGGTGGTGCAGCTATTCAGAAACCAGTCCAGCCAATCTTGTACTCTCCTCTGTTATCCTGTCACGGCAGATGCTTTCTTCCTTACCTGGGTACTAGGTAACTCGCAACACAGGCTTGTAATAATAACTCCGACTGATATTTCAAATTACATAGCAGTGACTATGTTCCTTGCGCAACAACTCAGGCTACTTGGTATCCCATGGGAAAGATCCTTAGGTCATTGAAAACGTTCGTTGAAAAGAGCTACTGGTCCAGAGCAAGACCTATATAGTTGTGTTAGTTCCCATTTGAATAACCCGGGGGTGTAAGAGTGTTTACTACCTAGTCAGCCGTAAACCACCATTACGTTGTTCTGTTGTACACCGAACTCAGCTTTCAACCTTTTCAACTAACCTCATTTCGGAGAAAGCAATCAATGGAAATGAGGACGTCCCTTCTGTCAATGAATCGTGATGCAATGCACCCAGTTCACCTTAGTTCACTGTTGGCAAACAACTACGATTCACGCACTGAAGTGTGTTCGGTTTAGGTGACCTGACACTCGTCACCACTACAGAAAGTACTAAAGGTGGGGAGCACGAAGGCGAGATCACGAATGAAAGTTGTTGGAAGAAAATTTTGTAAATGTAGTAGTGGGTCGGTGTATTGCTAGCTGGACACGAGAGCCCTAGTGCAGGAGCGCCATAGCTTTTGCCACTGTGCCGCATCTTAAATCAATTATACCGCTGGTCCAAGACACCACATCGAAGAAGAGCCCATACATACAAGCCTCACAACGTATATGGATCATTTCGTTCACGATTTACTGTCATGTTATCCGCTGACTAACATGCAGACTTACCAAAACAGACGTAATTAGAAGTCGCTGAACTAAGCACAAAGTGGTAGATGATCAATGCGCAACCATATGACACAATTAAGCCAGTCTGCGGTGTTTCATTTCAACGAGCACTTCAGTGTGGCATAGAGTAACCTCTTGCGACACAGCAAATAACGGACTACATCGTCGACGTCAATGGTCAAACATGATCAGCTACTCAACACCCTCAGTGTGTAGACATCAGATCGCTAACTCATCCGGTGAGGGTTCTGTACAGCTGCGCACTGCATTCTTGTAACATACATTAATATCCTACTTCTATTAGCATTTGAACCTATAAAAAGTTAAAGGAACAGTGGATGCGCGTCGCAATCTCTTGACCAATGCGAACACCCGTGGTGACAGTTAGATAAAAGAATCGCCTAACGATCGCGGTAGACTGCTTGGTGGCGCATCGTATGGCCAGTGGGCGGCGGTTGGCTCCCAGTGGTAGCTTTCCACTAACCTACTAGCAGTTCTATAAAGTCTGTGGCATGCAAATACATCTAACTGGTATTCGAAGTGTAACCAGCAGTTTCTCGCACTAATTTTCTCGTTAATAATAATATCTTTTGGTTTCGTATATATGCGCAAACTTTATCCCGCCGACCGCTGTCTCCAGTTGGTAGCTATCGGAACGCAGTATATATGCTTGTTAGGTTATGTGCAGCAACACACACACGTCCTTCGCTTTAGCAGTTATTCAGTCACCAGCGACTTCCGTCCTTCTCATTTGCATCTAATGCAACTGAGCACCATAATGTTCCCACATACCAACCTCAGTTGTTGAACTAAATCGTAGGTGGCAATTCCATCAGTTAATACAACTATTTTTAATATCGAAATGTATGGTATTATGCGCTCATATAATGTAGTCTATTTTATTTGCTTCCGATATTTTACTTTTAAGTGCCCCGCGACAGATTTGCGGAACGCTATGTCGTTTTCACTCTTCGGTAATATTGCTTTCGGGCGCATACGTCCAACTAAATAATCATTCAGTCTTAGTTTATAGGGTGTCCGTTGTGTTACTTCCAGACAAGTGACACCTATAAGTTGCACCTAAACAGCGAAAACGCTCGTGCGTGATTTTCTTTGTATTGAATGTCACGTGAGATATAGGTATCATTCAAAATACCTGTTTTCGAAGAGACCGTGAAAAACCTCTCCTCCCTAAGCTCACCCAAACGTACAAAATGCATCTGGTTCGCACCAGGAATCACCAATCAGTATCGGTACACTCTGGTAGCGTATACGTTCGATCTCTCGAGATCTGCTTCTATCTTAGTTGGTTAGTACAGTCGCGTCGTTCAAGAAATGTTCCGAGTCTGGGTAACTAAGACGATCCGGTCAACTTCTTGGATTACTGATTGAAAGCGCTTTTCGGTCATATTTAATCGTCAATCTCACTGCGATCCGACACAACAAGTCCGTGCTTATAAACCTTGAGTGACAAGCTCCGCCTCCCAAACAAGGCTGCATCCACACACCTCCTACCCGAGAGTCATGACGGGGATGATTAACGATAGGAGAATCAACTGCATCGGACCCGAATTATCTTGCTCCAAGATGCCCACCATTGGTGCATAACTGGGGAAGGAGGAGGCGAACACGTACCAGGGTTGTTGCTGGGCCATAGCCCGTTCCGAGAGTTCCGCATTCATCGAGCCTAGCAGTAACAATTTCTTGTAGCAGGTAAGTCCGATGAGCTAGAGCTTTATCTCTGTTCAGCCAAGCATGCTATGGATGGTACAAGCGGTGGATACCACGGCGTGCCAACCAGTAAGGACTAGGATGAGCGCTCAGCGTTATTTCACATCTCCCTATATGGTAAAAGTATACTTACATGTATCTAACGAACTCCAAAGCAAACCTTCTGTTAGCCTGTCCTGTTGGACGTAATCTATCTTCATGGCCATGACCAGCATGTGAACTAGATTGATAAATCAACATGACTCTTCGTTTCACAACAATCCCCACACATGTGGCCCAAGATAACTGCAGAAAATAAGACTTGTTGCGGATCTTTCCTTTAGTAGCCAGTAACTTAGCTAACCGGAGGAAATTGTGTGGGGCTGTACTTCTGCTGAATAGAGAACAAATTCGGTAAAAGCAGACCCATGAGGTTCTCATCAAACAAACAGCAGCTACCCTGCTACAGATGCTGTATACCAGACTGATCCATCTGAACCGCATACTCAGTTCGGAACTCGAGAATTCGATGCTCTAGCAAATTTAACTTCTCAGCACACATCCTACATTGAGTAGCGAAAGCGAAATAACTGATATACTAAATCATTGAGCCATTTTCATTATACCAACCACGGCTTGAATCAGTCGAAATCATACTGTGATACACCTTATATTACTACACCGTCACACATAACCAAGAGAGATATAATTGTTTTGGTAAACGTTCGGAACTCATCAACGTTTACCAATGAGGGATGATATTCTTACCTCCACCTTGGCCAACTGTAGCTTTGACAGCTGGAAAGCAACTCACTCTTTTCAACAGCCTGATATACTTGCGAGTCTTCTCAATCAGTACGGCTGTCGCTTCACAAAATAACAACCTATCCCACTCGTAATGGAAAAATTTCTACTATTCTTATAGTGGAGCACGGAAAATATTCACTTGAATCCCTTTTCAATGAGGCGAACCCATTTGTGGAATACGGTGACACTGTAATTGAGGACCAGCGAGAGGCTATCTGCACTTTGATCTCCTGTTGCCAGGTCAAATGTGGTCAAACATTTTAACCTTCAGCAATCCATGTGTGTACTCATGAAATCCGGGCTTTAAAGCACATGACAAAACTAGCTTATCTATTTCACAAACCATTACTGATCCATATTGAACACAAATTCATAAAGACAATGCTAAGGATACTCACTGTTTCACAAAAGGAAACGTATCCCACCGGACAGGAAAGATACCCATTTATTTATTGAAAAGGATGTACCACAAAAGTTCTCATGCAAGAGTAACTGAACACAATACATTCAGCTGCAGAGACCAAGTAGAGAGGGTAACTTATGCGTTCGCCTGGCAAACTTTTGAAACTCATACTCAAACAGGCCGTTAACACCCATCAGGCGGAACAGCGTTTTGTACATAGATCCCAAAGCCACCATAGGCTATTATTCATGTCATAGCGTCGTTTGTGGTGGACTGTTGGCACTACGACAGAGACCAAAAGATCAAACAACTGTGGCTGCAAGTACACTGTGCACACGAAGGTATTTGGCCACGTTGTTACACATCATATGGCAGGCAATCGTGAAGGGCATGCAGAATGGGAAAAACAACCAGCTACCTACCTGTTTCCGTGAGTGTCGACTGCTCGAATCCGAAGGGGAATGTGGATGAGTAGATAGAGGATTCTGTGTGGCCCAGGGGATTTGCCATCGCTGTATTTGCGGAATTCAAAGTTGTCCATGAGTACTGGGCGCCAGAGAGCACATGTTCTCGTGACGGTGGGGAACCCAGCTCTTCTACTACCGGCAGTCCCAATGAATGCGTGGATTCAAACAGACTGAACGGAGGAACCAAGTGTAGATCGGGTTTATAAGCTTTAGACCAGCTCACTGTTGCCAGTCGTCTAGGAGATTTATCTGCCTGCCCCGGATGCGCAGGGTTTAGCAGTGTTAGCTGACGCACGTTGCGTGATATCATCTTGGCTAGATCCAAATTGGCAGATCGTAGCGGACAGGGCGAGTTGAGACAATCAATGTTGGACAGCTTGGTCATATCACTCAGTGTGGTCCGATCCGCGTACTCGTTGAAAGAATGGTTCGTAAAGCTGCCCGCAGGATTTGAACTACTATCATCCTCTGAACTATGTCGGCTGCTTGCATCCTGAAATGCGCCCTCATCGCAAGGATCACTCTTTATCCGGAGCACCGGCTGGCAAGCTGCTGGTTGGTGTGCCTTTTGGGGCCGTAGCTTGTCCGACGCCAAGCGGGGCGAGGCAGTGCCAGTTGTGGTCATACATACTCCACTGCAGCTGCTCGGGTCGATGCGGACAGGTGCAGAAAACACTTGTTCATTGTGCTCCTCAGTGTTGTGAGATTCCACTGCGACGACCGTGGCGGAGCCGCACAGTGAACAGTCTCCGACGGAGGCTTGCCAAGTTGGTGCATGCAAGGTGGAATGCATGTTAAGGTGGGCGTACGCTGGGTTATTGCAGGGATCGTAAAAGGACGCTTGAGTGTGAGATCGCTCGTGACTGCGCACGTAAGTAACCGTCATAGCTTTAGGCTCATAGTATGGGGGTATAAAATCGGAGGTTATGATAGACTGACCATCACAGGGGTACGTTTGGCTTTGGAACATGTGAGAATTATAACGTAAAGGATGCCGGCTCAAATCAGGTCCATCCATTATAAACCTGCAATGACCTGATCGTCCGGAGGCCCCGAAAAACTGCTTGGATTCACTTCTGAGTCTGCACTATTCGGATAACATGCAGTCACAATGGCTGGCACGTACCTGGTATGGCCAGTGCGGACGGACAGGCCGGGCAGCCCATCCAATCACCCGTCTGGTTTGTGCACCAGGCCATAGGGGTCATCCGACTAAACAGCCATAGCACCACTGTGGGTGTACGTGTTGACACAGTCCCATCCTCTCGGCGCGTCGGGCGTGCTAGCCACAACGCGTGCCTTGATTGGTCGGTGGAGCACAACATGGCACATAGGTTTGATTTTGTGGTAATTCCCACGTATAAGGGAGAATATCTGATGATGCAGTTCGTTTTGGTCTGTTTGTCCTCTTTAGCAAGTGCTAAGCATGTTGATATTGAAACAAAAATCACGTGGCTATCCACAAGAATCTTGGACCATATTCTGCGACCGCTCTGCAACCCACCGCTACATAGTCTCGCTGCGGCCCCCTCGTATTTCCGTCAGTATACAACGATGAAACAATGGATTTATTGAGAAAATAGTAAACGCTTAACAGTGTGAGGCCAAAGATGACTGTATGGAGACAAAAGCACGTATCGTTTAGTTTACCGCAAATTGCACGTGTACACGCTGTTTGCTTACGTGGTCCCGTGTCCCAGTAAGTTAAGGTTAAACCACGCAATGTAAGTGATGTAATGCATCATTAAATTGAGTTTTGAATTCAGATTTTGTAAGAGCGGAGATAACAGAAAGAGGAAGTAAGTTCTACGACTAAGATACATGAATCGAGAAAAAGTTATGGAGGTATTCCAACCGGCTGTACTGTGTGGCTAACTTCAGGTGGCGGCACCTCAGTGAGGTCTCACAGCTGAGTTTCAATAAAGTTCGGAATGGGTGATTGGGAGGTTTGAGGATCTGATGCACCAATATGAGATCACCACACAAACAACGATCTTGTCCACTGAAAACTCCTACGGTCTTTAGTCCCAACTGGTAATTGAGGTGGAACAACCCTTTGACATGAGAGGGTAGAACCAGCGGCTCTAGCTTCCATGATAATCAGGTGCTTGTGGCAAAGTAGGGAGGCCGTGTGCCTGGATCTCAATGCCGTCCTCTGTGTGACTGAACTGCGTAACAACAGCTGATTTTTCGGTCGGGACCCCTGGCGCTATTTCCTGTGGCCAAGCGGTCAAGACGACTGGGCTACGGAAGAGAAGGGTTGTGGATTTTAACCTTACAGACAGTAAATGGAATCTCACAGCTACAAGCCTTGAAAGGCAGAAACGACTTCCTAGATCTTTTCCAGATACATGGTTAGCATCTGATTGAATGTATCTGCGACAAATCTTCTGTGAACCTAGCCCGTAGTCCCATTGCCGCACTCTCTAGAAATGTGCTTTATTCATATATTAATAACAATAGTAATAATAATGTATTCCCGATTTTACACAAGGCTCTTCCGAACAGGCTTGATCGATAATGACAGAATGACGGGGGATTTTGTGAACAGGAGTCCGTAGACGTAATACAGCCACTGAATGACGCAACTAGAGGATGAGATAGTGTCAGGTGAGGACTGAAAAGGTCAGTGAGTACCCAATGACTACTTGGCAGGCTGTCACAACAGACGCGGTTATGTCGCTTCACAGTCCAATTATTTCGAAGCAAGCTTCGTCCGACCAAACAATATGATTCAAAACGTCTGAAAATTCTTCGCAGTCACAGGAGATTCATGTGATTGAAGTGGTCTGTCCCAGTCATCTTCGTTAACAGCATGGGTTCACGTGGACTATATGGATGTAACGCGACCTATGACTTGGCGCGTTGTAAAGACTATCGCAATATACCAAACTCTGCTGAAGCACATCTATGTTGCCATATGATGCGGATAATAAATTTTGGTCAGCAATAGTCCTTGGTGTACCAGATTTATTTGCGTCGGAACGCTGCCAGTTTGAACTTTTCTACCACGGTTGAGATATCACCAGTTTAGCTGTTAAGACTGAGCTGTTTTAAACGTTTACTTGCACATGGGGAAATTCCAATTGGTCCATGGAACACAACTCAAGTTAGTCCAGGTTCGAACACCCTTGGTGGAAACCTATGAATTTTCACGTGTCTTCTGCTTGGCTGAAGTTTGACGCTGTTTCACGCACGTGATCTCACCAACAGTTGGAGAATGTCGATTTTGTTGGAAGTGGTCTAGCAAAATATTCACTCCAGTGCTTATTCACATTGGTATAGCGCAGATGAATAAAGAATTTCAACCACTTGAACACGTTCGTCCTGACGTAAAGTGCCTCGTTTGGAAGCCATATTAGTGAAATGAAAGAGGGAGAGCAATGGTCAAAAGTCAAGTGTTGACGATTATGGTAAAAATTAGGGTTCGGTTAATTCTTCCGAAGATGCCAATAGGTTAGTAGGCCAGGCGATTGTCAAGAGTTGCTCTTTCACCCACGGTTTGTTAGTCATGCCTAAAACCTTTCCAGAACAATTCGAACTACTGGCAGTTCAGGTTTAATTCAAGTTGGTTCATCGCAATTAGATTCCAAGCCGCATAAGTAAGCTACCAATCCGGAAAAGCACCAGACGCGCGTTTCGCCCTATTGGGGCTCGTCAGTGGTGCGCATCCATCGGTCCCCTACTGGGGATCGAACCCATGACTGCTAGAGGCTAACGCCAACCAGCCAGCAGCTTATGCCACTGAGCCACGCGGGACGATAGCCGACCATTACGGATTGAAACCTAACTGCGATATAGCCCGACCCATCCTCCACTGCCGCGCAGGTTAATGCCCGTGCAGAAGACAGTGGTTGGCCGTCACGGTCAGGTTTTCCCTTGCCAGCGCCATGAATCCACACAGCAATTTTAAATACTGGTAGGGCTTAGTTTAAGTTTTGTCGGAGTAGATCGTCACCAACCGACATAGCATCACTAGTGTGCAGGAATAACACAAGGTGCTCCCCTTTGGCTTTTCATCTCAATGATGGTCATGATAAAGCGAAAGTGTTGTGAGTTCAGCTCCGCTCTGCCTGGCTAAGCAGTAAAAATACTGAAAAAAGAATGATGCAACATTACCTTCATAGAACCTGCAGCCAAGTTAACGCATTTTCCGATTTCTACAGTTACGTGCCGATTCACCTGCATCTGTGGAAGCCTTCAAAGGAGCGTCCAGAGTGTCACCTGAAATAGGTAAGCAGACACGACGGACATGTCATACGTTAAACTGAAGGTTCTCCACAACTGAGCCTAAACCCCATTGTGGTGACCATTTCGCACGCTTCTCAAAGTAATTTCATGACAATACTGATGAACAACACAGCTAAAATGAGCTGGGATCATTAGGGCTGCTTGTAGACCAAGGGATCGAAAGGCACCGAAATAAAAAAACATGATCGGGAATCATATACGAAGGCATAACGTTCATTCGTTAATGTAAATATGGGTGTAACTAACTAGCTAGCTAGTATATAAGAAAACAAATGGATCTGCTGTGCAGTGTGGATGGAAACTATATTTTTAAGGTAAACTTAGGCATCAGCGGACATTGCGAAATTTCCACTACAAAGCAGGGCTGATTCGCTTTTGCACACAGCATGACAGCAACTTCTACGAGATTGTGGTCACTAACGGACCCGAAACCACTTTAGATGTTCCATGTGAACTGCGGTCAACAACCGAGTATCATTTCAATGTTTTCGAAGGCGACATATGGCTAGTATACGGTTCATAACACACAGTATGCGTTCCGTCAGATGACCAAAAGTAACGCATGTTAGCATTAGGACAGATAGCTCTTAGTCTCAGTTATTGTACTCATTGTTTTCCGTGATACATTTTGGTTAGGTCAACTTAAATCAAGATCGGAGACGTGGTAAGATTTCTTTTCAAGCGGATCACTGTAAAACTAGTGCGTCAACATGCGAACTAGACGCGAGAATTTTATGTGCATAATTTAGCCGCTGTAGAGTGTCAATTTGGTTAAACAGGTTATACACAATATTCTCTATTCTGGGAGAACGGTAAGTAGAGCAACCGTAGACAACAGGTTAGTCCTGATATTTTACCTTTGCGTTAATTATTCCGTTGATCATTTGCATTAATGCCATAGACCAGCAAAACGGGAACCGATCTTTGGACCAAATACATGTTTCAAACATGCACCGTCGGAATTTCTTAATTTCAAAAAATTGAAAATCCGCATTTACTTGTTAAGGACATAGGGCCAGTGGTGGAACATTGTTTTCATTGATGCTTCATCAAACCTGTATAATCGTATAAACAGGACATATAAAGAGACATGCATTCAAATGAAACAAATCTACTGGATTCCCGTTGGGATTGTGAGGCTTACGCCTCTGTCTGCTTGCGACAGCCGAGGCAATCGGTATTCGGTCACTCTAACCTCCTTCACGTTCCCACAAGAAACTGATCCTTACTCTTCAGCTGTCATGGCCAACAAAGGTGGAAGACGCCGAAGTAATTTACACTGGAACGAAAACGCGATTGCCCTAGATTAAATTGCCCGTCAGTTCATGAGGTGAGGTGGCAAGTGTTTCGTTTCATTTGAATTAAGTTGAGTAATTATACACAGAGTGATTGATTCTTGCTTTTATTGCACAGGTCTGATGAGGAATCATTGAAAAGAAATTCCTGAGTGCTTTTTCGCTTCAGTAATTGATCTTATTATTGCTTTTTTGGCAAATGTCTTTAACCACCTCATTTCTGGTGGAAGTTGGAATTGCTAATATCTACCACGAAAATCAAGAAGAGGAGGGGTGACCAAGCCATGACTTGGTCAAGAGGAATCAAGACCCTCACTTCGCAGCTGGCTTCGGTTGGAGCTTCACGGCTACCTGGTTGGGGTCCAAAACACAATGAACAAGTTTGTATGGATACACTTGCTGACTTGGCTAGGAGACGACCTCAGTGGCGTTGGTGCTGGGAGTTTCTTTGTCCCTCACCGTCCCTCTTAGC